GGCAGGACCTAGGCACTTCCCCATACTTTCAGGGATCATTTATATAGTTGGTTACTAGAGTAGATGCTCTTAACATGGTAACCCTGAAAATGCAGGAAACTGAGTTGCACAGATGTAGTTTAGTATTTTTGAAATCCAGCTTGTTTGAGGGTAGTTGGAGGATGCAACTTATTGGGTAGTGACCGCGTTAGTGTACAACCATGCCAGAGGTTACATAAAGGAGAGTTACTTACTAAGTTTTCCAAACACAGAAGTGGCATATTTACTTGTGGTTTTATACTTCCTTAGTATATCCTCCACAGGTACAATTTTATTTTCTCCATTGTAACTATGGATTTGTATGAGACCATAAATAGTATAGGTCAATATCAATTAAGAGTGAGCACTGAGATATTTTGATGAAGGATCTTAAACCATGGAAAACTCATTATGTCAGGGATGAGCATCAAAGTGAGTCTACTCAATGAACCACAAATGAAGCAATCACATTATTTATTCATTGATCAGATACCAAACAGTTCCGTCAAGTAAGGAGAAACAATATACCAGTAAAGAATGATTAAAGAAAAAAACACATTGTTTATTTCACAGGATAAACTTAAGTGCCAATACATAGCTGAGATAATTGTGTTATTATCATAGAACCAAATTTGTAGACTAATTTTTTAGTACAGGCTGTGTATATAATCTATGTTGTTTGTGCCATGAAGCCATGCATGTAATATTTGATACAGTTTTTCAGATCTCATTTCTTTCATATACTTGTCAGATCTTAGTGCTTAGATCAGTATTAATTCACAAGCTATACAGAACAGAAGGTAGACTTCCCCTGTACCTTTACTCTTTCCCATACTCTTCTCTGTCAATGAAGAACATTTAAAACAGGATGTGGGGTCCCCACAAAACACTGCTACAAACTCTTAATGTCTATGTTAGTTGTCTCTAAAGGTCCTCACCAGCCTCACAGAGGGAGATGGACTCATGATCTACAGTTAGCATCTCATTCAAATCCATCCTCTGTTCAGTTATTTAAATTCCTCTGAGACAGATTCCAGAAAATAACACTTGTTCACAGACCTAAATGATTCCTGTATATTCATGACATAGTTCATTGCAGACATTGACAGAATATATTTGCATGATCAAAATTCTCAAAAACCTGTCTAGAATTTGACAAGTGGTGTAACAGTAACTGACCTATTATCAAACAGTTCAGATACATTGAAAATGCGTTTTTTAATATCACTTAGATTAAGCCCAAGCTATGACCGTAGCTGAAAATTTCATCCAGTTGGGAAATCAGAGCTTGGGTTAGGTTTAGGAACTCATATTCTTTGCTGCCTGAATCCTTTTGGCAGGAGTTACTTTCCTTTGTCTGTGGTACTGTCATCAACTTCAATCTTAACGGCATTCTTTTCATGTGATCTTTTACCAGATTTTGATATTGCCTTTCATGAAGTCTCATTTGCAGACAGCTGTTAAAAACCTCAATCATTTCTCTACTAGGATTGTTTGTGTTCTCCTTGCTGTTGTTTCAGTTACTAAGCCTGGAATTAAAAGAACTGCATCTGTGATTCTGCAAACGTATCTTCCTTCAGACCGGCAATAAACTTTTCACCTACAGTAGCAATGGGAACACAGACTACAGTAGCAAAGAACCTTGTTAAGAGCTATTTGCCACAGATTACAGTGATCAAAAGTAATTACAAACTTATTGCTACCATCTCTTAATGGAACACAGTAAATGATCTAACAATTCTTGATCAAGGTTGGGAGACAAGATGTCACAGGAAGAAAGCAAGAAATACTGATTTGAGACATTTAAAGGACTCACAATGAGATATGTAAATCATGTTGCACTTTTTTTCTCCCTACAGGAAGCATATTTAGTTATTACCCATTTGTTATCCTCGAGAGGTTCCACCACTTAAGTTAGTAAAAGAGAAAGGAAGGAGACAAATGTATGAGAAGGATTTTCAAAGACTATAAGAAAGGGGCAATTATGAATGATATTGTGTCCTCTGTGCAATCACATTATGACTCTGTACACACCAGTGTGTCACTGCTAAAGTTTAGTCATATTTTGTAGTAAAATTGTTGCTTATTAAGATTGTCATTGGTCATAGGGACAAACACAAACACAACACAGTAAGTAAAGGAGAAACATTGGAGGTTTCAAAGTTCCTAACAAAAATACAGTCCCAGGAGCAGATCCTGTGACAGGCCAACTCTTTCATATCCATAGCTGCTAGACACATTAGTGCTGCTCAAATCCATTCAACAATACAGAGGACGACCACATCAGACCTCTCTATATTTATTCCAAGCTTTGAAAATCCAAAATGACACACCAGAATGGTATTTGGTTTGTGGTAGAATGAGAACAAGCATGCAGAGACAGGAATATTTGTCTTCTTGATGACAGACATTCTGGCTGGGGGGTGGAGAATCCCAAAATTTTTACCTCACATTTAATTAATAAAGAGGACAATAAACATTGTGCTTCTTTTTCTTTTTTTGCCCAATTTGGCTATTTTTTCTTCCTTCCATCCAAGATCTCTTTGTGCTGCTAGTTAATATATTAAGAAATTCTGGAATTTCTGGTAATCAGTATATTTAATTTTTCATTTGTTTTCATGTTTTATACAGTAATGTGCTCTCAAACTTTTTCTTAAAGGGGCTTTATGATCCTGTCTGTTGTTTCTATGCGTACTACAGTGACTTCTTTGTTTCTTTTGGGAAGGTGTTTTCTTTTATGTGTTTGTAGGTTGGAGGCCAACTGTTCTGTCCATTTCAGGTGAAGATCACTGGAAATGAACACAGGATCAAGATGATGCATGATTCAATGGATGAGTTTTGCCGCATTCCTTCTCTTCCTGTTTTTAGTGCACTCTTCAAAAGCTAAGTGCTAGATCTTTAATGATTTGAAATCAGTCAACAGAGGACCCATTCTGTCCCACCAGCAGTGGAGGAGTGTTCTCTACATCCTCTCCAGCATAAACTGTCATTGGTGGTTTTGATTTTAGCCATTCTGACAGTAGTAAGATGATATCTCAGAGTTGTTTTGAGTTAATATTGTATTCTGTCACCTTGCTGAAGGTGTTTATCAGCTGTAGGAGTTCCCTGCTAGAATTCTTTGGGTCACTAATTTAGACTATCATGTCATCTGCAAATAGTGAAAGTTTGACTTCTTCCTTTCCAATTTGTATCCTCTTGATCTTCTTTTGTTGTCTTATTGCTCTAGTATGAACTTCAAGTCCAATATGGAAGAGATATGAAGAGAGTGGACACACTTGTCTTGTTTCTGATTTCAGAGGAATCACCTTGAGTTTCTCTGCGTTTAGTTTGATGTTGACTGTCAGTTTGCTTTATATTGCCTTATGTTTAGGTATGTCCCTGTTATCCCTAATAACTCCAAGGCGTTTATCATGAAGGGGTGTTGGATTTTGTCAAAGGCTTTTTCAGCAACTAGTGTGAAAATCATGTGGTTTTTCTTTTTCAGATTTTTTATATGGTGGATTACTTTGATGGCTATTCGTATGTTGAGCCATCCCTGCATCTCTGGGATGAAGCCTATGTGATCATGGTGAATGGTTTTTCTGATGTGTTCTTGGATTTGATATGCTAGTATTTTATTGAGTATTTTTGCATCAATGTTAATGAGGGAAATTGGTCTGAAGTTCTCTTTCTTAGTTGTGTCTTTGTGTGGCTTGGGTATCAATGTTATTGAAGCCTCATAAAAAGAGTTTGGCAGCCAGGTGTTGGTGGTGCATGCCTTTAATCCCAGTACTCGGGAGGCAGAAGTAGTCGTATCTCTGTGAGTTCGAGATCAGCCTGGTCTACCGAGCGTGTTCCAGGACAGCCTCCAAAACAATACAGAGAAACCCTGCTTCGAAAGACCAGAGTTCATGAAATGTCTTGCCCACGCAAAGTTGATGACGTTGCTTGTCATGGAATGCCAGCTATTCGACTGTTAATAGTGGAGATGGGATAAAGATGGCTTTTTAGCTTCGTTTGCATCATGAAGGACATGGTCATCCAGCTTCCCAGGAAGACTCTCCATGGGGAGGGACAGTTACTGTGTCAAGCTTTAGAATGATATCCATCAGTGTAGACGATGTAGCTGGGATTTCACTGTCACATTTTACTAGTGCTCCTTGCCTGGAGCATCTTTTCTCTTTTTTAGTGCCCTTATTTGACTGAGTGATGCAGACCCTCTTACCTTGTCTCCGAGCACCCATCTTCTGTCTTCTACTTGATCTATTCTGGTGGTGAGACTTTTCGTGGATTTACTATTACGCTTATCGTGTTCTTTCCACTTCTTTCACTTCAGTTTGAATTTTCTAACTCCTTATTGCATTCAGTACTCACAGCCGGAATTGCCCTCATTTCTTGTCCTTCCATCACTTTGCTCCCGTCCTCTTTAATTGATGTCGGGGGCTTGCTTCCTCTTTAGGTACTTTGATCTCATTGAAAATAGTTCCATAAGGGGGGTGTGTGTGTGGGGGGGTGTTCTGCTTCTCATGTTTCATCCCCTTTGATCTCCTTAGGGGACACAGCTATGGAAATGGTGATACTTTTTTTTTTGGCAGCGATATTTCATCTTAGTTTGCGTTTTTGGTATGGAAGCTGAACATCTGGATTTCGGGTGGTTGCTGTCTTTTTCTGTATGAGTTTATAGGTCAGGAGCTGGAAACCCAAAATGAAGTGTTAGACTGAACAATTTCAACACGAATTGGTCAAAACTCAGGATAAGAAGGTCAGACCCCGGGGTGCAGCGTCCTCCCGGATGCAGCTCTGGTCTAGGCTGCAGCAAGCGTGTGTGGAGTCTGTGCAGAGCCGGTCCAGGGCAGCCTGACAGCAGCAGCCCTGGGGAAGGCGGGGGAGACCGAGTGGGAGGGGCGGGGCCGTGGGGGCGGGGACACGAAACCGGAAGCAGTGCATGGAGGAGGTTGGACCTTAGGTGGGTGTAGATGAAGGGTGCAGAGTTGGATGGGTTTGGGGAGTGACGTGAGCGGAAGCGGGAAAGTCTCGTGAATGAGGACAGGGAAGTGGACTGAGGAGCCGCATCCAGCAGTGACAAGTGTCCGTTCCCTGTCGTTGCCCGGGGGCCTGCACGGTGGGAGCCGCGCGCTGCAGACCCGGGTGCGGGGGACGCGGCGGGCGCCGCGGGGACCTGGAGACTCCGGAGCCGCAGTGTCCGCGCGGGGCGGGCGGCCTGGGAAAGTCAGCGTCAGCAGCAGCGCAGTGGCGGGAACCGCAGCCCGGCGGCCCTGGAACCTCCCAGGTCAGAGGAGCCGCGGGGCTGGGACCCGGGAGGGAGGGGACAGGGGGTACGAGCGGTTTCTCTGCTGCTGATCTGGAAGCCGGCTCCCAAATTCTGATGTGGGTGTCTTCCCTTGGTACATTTTTAGCTCATGTGATCTGAACTAACCCTGATACTTTTTTTTCATCGATCTTCACTGCCAAAATATTATCATAAAAGCAATGTAGTAGAATATTGGAATTCATGTCTTGATGTTTGCAAACACGGTTCTCTTTGCTACGATGGATAGCAAAGAGCTCTTGAAATTCGCATTGAGCGTGCTAACTTCCCTCTTAAGCCACTTACCTATTCAAGACAGTGGCATATGGACCTGGGGACTTGGCATTCCCAGAGACCTTTTAGATAATAGTCCTCAAATGAATACTTGCAAATTTGATTGAATCTGAAAACATTTTTGTTTCGAGCTCCACAGGTATGGTTGTAAATATTAACATTTAAAAGCAAATGTTTAATCCATCATTAATTTTTCATCTTCGATCATGCACTTTGATGTAAATACAGCAGTCTGAAAAGTGTCTTTGCCAAGCTCCGTGGCACAAGCCTTGAATACGAACACTCAAGAGGCAGAGGCAGGCTTATGTCAATAATTTCGAGACCAGCCTGGTGTATGTAGTGAGTTGCAGGACATCCATAACTACATGGTGAGACCCTCTCAAAGAACAAAAATGAAAAAAGAAAGAAAGGAAAAACAATGTCATCTTGTGCTGAGTTCTTAGTGTTGCTACTTAGAGTCTGGAAAGCACAGGCTTTCATGGTATCAGATCACAGTATTTTCACAGTTAGAAAAGACATTATTAACCAGGTGGTGGTGGCACAGGTGTTGAGTACCATCATTAGAGAGGCAGAGGCAGGTGGATCTCTGAGTTCGATGCCAGCCTGGTCTAGAGGGGAAGTTTCCGGATACCAAGGGCTACACAGAGAAACCCTGTCTTGAAAAAAAAAAAAAAACCCAAAAGGAAAAAGAAAAAAAAAAAGATACAGATGAAATTGAAAAACCATCTACATCAGATAAATGTCTAGATTAGTCTTTTCTTTCCTTGGTTTTTTTTTGTGGCGAGGGGGGAGGTGGGGGGAGGGGGGAGGGGGTCGTTGTGTTTGCTTTGTTTGAGACCTGAACTCTGTGTTGCTCTGCCTGGCCAAAAAGTCACCAAGTAGAACAGGTTGGACTGGAACTATGAGAGTTCCACCCACTTGTCTCCTGAGGGCTAGAATTAAAGGTGTGAATGTCCAAACTGTTGTTTATTTTATGATCTGTTGACAACCAGTGTGGACTTCTCCCAGGAGGAGGGGCAATGCCTGGACCCTGCCCTGAGGGCTTTGTACAGAGAGTGGATGTTGCAGAGTTGCAGCCGCATGGTTTCTGTGGCTAAGAATTGTTTCCTAGCAGTCTCCCTTGCTCCTGGCTCACACAAAGCTCTACAAGTGTGTGAGCTTTGTGTGAGCCAGTGTTACATCCCACAGACTAGAGTGAAATCCTCCAAGGAATAGGGAACGACTTCAAGAAAAGTTCTCTCTTCTTTGTGTGTGTCCCTTTGACAGGTGTGAGGTTTCCATCATCTTGGGCCTGTGATGAATTCAGAACCTCAGTAGTATGTGATATTCTCATCCCAATCATTCAGTTCCATTTCTGCCCCTGAGTTTTGACTGAGCTGTGATTGGAAGTGGGATTCAAGTTACGAAAAGTAAAAATGCTTTCTAACTGTTTTCAGTATTCTGACAGTGCAAGAGAGTATAATCCTGTATTTAGTTTTTTCATCTACTGTGTGAGAAATCCAGGAGCTTCCTGAACAATCTCTTTCTCATGTGCAGGGCTCACTGATCACCCTGACCTGCTCACCTGTGCAGCAGAACAAAGGGGCCTGGAAGGAGAGAGGAGACGGAAGCTAAGGATGCAGGTGTGGGGGAGGGGTTGGCGAAGGAGAGGAAGGGGTCAGGTGATGTGGAAGTAGAACAGGAAATCAGTTTTGCCATACTGTGTTTTGTTTCACTAGAAAGAATTCTGGAGACTTGCACTGAGAAAGGTCTCCTCACGATTACCTAATTATAGGTATGAGAAGAGGTCCTAAGTCAGAATTGACACTGGGAGGAAAATAAAATTGAATTCCACTATGCATACAAGTGCTGCTGTCATTCACATGTCATCATATATTAATTGTTCTCATGTCAGATTTTAATAAATGACAAAATAGTGAAAATAATGTCTCTAGGTGTATTTATTGTATTTAGAATTTTTGAGCTTTGGTATTCTAGCACATTTTCTACGTTTTAGTTTTTTTTTTTTCTCCATTCCTGAAAATAATGCCAACAGAGGGAAATAAACTGGGTGGTGGTGGTGCATGCCTTCAATCCCAGCACTTGCGGGAAGGTGTCAGGAGGATCTCTGAGTTGGAGACCAGCCTGGTCTAGAGAGTGAGTTCCAGAACAGTCAGGGCCGGCCATACAGAGAAACTCTGTCTCAAAAAATCAGGTATACATATATGTATATACGTATATACATACACACACACACCACACACACGTATGTATGTATGTATGTATGTATGTATGTATGTATGTATGTATGTGGATCAAACTCATGTAGCCCAGGTTCAAGGCCACCCTTGGCTACTTGAGTTTGATCCTGTCCGAAAGAGAAACAGAACAGGGTGGTGGTGGCTCACACCTTTAATCCCAGTACTCGGGAGTCACACTGCTTTATTCCCAATGCCAGGGAGGTGGAGATGGGAATGATAAGGCTGGGCAGAGAGAAGAATGTAAGGTGGGAGGAGACAGGAGCTCATTCACAGCATTCAGTCTGAGGATTCATTGGGGCAGAATTGCCCATTTGGTCTGAGGGTTCGGTAGACGTAAGAGCTAGTGTCTGGCTGCTCTGCTTCTCTGATCTTTCAGCATTAACCTTTGTCTGACTGGGGGTTTTTATTATTAAGACCAATTAGAATTTGTGTTACCATATGGTGTGCTCTTCTCCGGGGAAGACTATTTCTCCAGCTTTCAGAATTCATTAGGGTTTGACCAGGAATTAGGCCTAATGAGCTTTCTCTCTTCCATGTTATCACGTCTCTTGGTGTTATCCTTGTTGAGCTCATGTTTAGTCAGCCATGTTTGTAAGATTTCATGCACGTAGCTTCTCTGACATTGCTAGGAGACACAATCTTGCAGCAAGCATCCTGTTCCTCTGGCTCCTACACTATTCCTGCCCCTTTCTCAGTGATCCCTGAGCTGAGGTGAAGGAGTTGTGTTGTTTGTGTGTCAGTGGGGATGGAGCATCACAAGTCTACATTTTGACTGATTGTGCTTTTCTGTGATAATCTCCATGTGTTGCTAAAATAACTTTCCCTGATAAAGGGTGAGGACTACATTCATCTGTGAGAATAGGGGTAAATATTTAGAATGCAGCTAGGGATTAGGCTGATTTAGTAAAGCAGTAGCTGTCTATCCCCTTCCAATATCCTTGACTTAGGGAAACTGGCTAGCTTTCCAGTACCAGGTATGTTCTCCCTCTTGTTGCAAAGGTCTTAATCCAATTAGAAGCTGTTGGTCACCACCAAGGTGTGACACTCTTGCACCCTTAGGACTATCATGCAGTGTAGATCACTGTTGTGATTCATAGGTGTCATATCTGGTAGGACTGTTGGCTAGCTCCCTCCTTTGGAGAATTGCATGTTACTTTCTGATACCATGAAAGCTAGTCCCCAGGGAGGAGGCTAAAAGGTCATATCCATCTCAAGTCTTCTGCGTTTTTTTTGTTTTTGTTTTTGTTTTTTGCACAAAGGGCATGGCTTCTTCAACAATAGGGACTCACCTTCTACCTCTCTGAGGCAAACATGGACAACAGCAATAGCCTACAATGATTTAGGTGTATCTTGGACAGCGGTGACCAACAACTTCAAAGCAGGCCTCTCATGCCCGACGTTGGTTGCTTTGTTAGAAAATCCATGGCTCTTGTGAGGAGCATCATCAGCCCAGATGCAGTTTTCATTTTCATCCTAAACGTATATGCATTTTTTTGGTAGGTGGACAATAGTAAGACTCCTTACGATATTTTAGACATCCTTACTGTTCTTTTACCCTCCTTTGTCTCTGTTTGTATCTGTCCCTTCCCCATAGTTTAATGTTTCCCTTTAGACCACTTATTCCCTGTTACTGCCATGCCTATTCCTTCCCCACACACCACAGTGCTCTCTTGTTTCTTTTCTTGTTACTGCAGTCACTCCAAGTCGTGTACTCACATCTGAAGATTTGGAGCTAGGACCTTCCTATGAGAGAGATCATGCAATGTCTGTCTCTCTGGGTCTGGGTTACCTCGCTCAATTTGTTCTTATCGGCATCCATCCATTTACTTGGCAAAGCTCGTGATTTCCGTTTTTTTTTGGTTTTGTTTTGTTTTGTTTTTACAGCTGAATAGTATTCCGTAATGTATGTTTGTACCACACTCTCACACTGCCCATTTGTTGGGTAAAGGATATTTAGGTTTTTTCCATTTTGTAGGTATTGTGAATATAGCAGCAATGTCCGTGGCTGAGCAAGTGTCTCTGCAGTAAGATGTTGAGTCCTTTGAGAATTTGCCAAGGAATGGAACAGCTGGGCCAACGTGCCGAATTAATGTAACTTGAGAATTTGCATATTTACTTCAGGATTCTCCATTTTCCTTTCCAGAGTGCCTGAATTCTTTTGTTCATAAAGTTTTTATTCCACATGCTTTTTTTTTTTGATGGTGATGTTGCTGGTTGAATTATTCATAGTAATCCCTCTTCCTTCTCTGTGAGTACTAATGGTTTGCTGTCCTGCTCATAGATGATTACTTCACAGTTCTTCTATATTTATCTACTCTTCCTGTGAAATTTGTTATTTCCCATGTTCTCGTGGATGATTCCTCTAACTCTCTGTGTATGTTTTGTCTCTAACTTATTATCTGCAGTGCTGCTTTAGTGAAATCAGTTTGATTAATTCATGACTTTTAAAATGCATTCATGTCTCCCATCAATTTTTAGATAGGATTTTTCTTCAACAATATGGTAATTTTCTTCCCATGCTCTCCTGGCCGTTGTGTCATGATATTGTTTCTTGTGTGTTTTCATTTGGTTTGACATTTCTTTTTCTTTTTGACTCCTTAATAGTAAAGGGCAGCAAGCCATCTATTCTGTGTTTCTGAAAGAGAAACTCATAGAAGAGAAACAGAAGGAAATGGCCGATTCTTCAGTAAGCTTGTCCCAGGTCAGTGATCATGTCTCCTTTATTTATGGAAGTGTTATATTATAGTTTGAGATATTAGAAGTCTTTCATTTTCTGCTTCTGACTTTTTTTTTAACTTTCTCATTAAAAATGTTACAAACATACAAACAGTCAAAATGTGACATGCTGAAATTTACCAGACCATAGCGTATACAACTCAATGTACTGTTATACAGTTAGTCATTGGGAACAGAAGCTCTGGAGCCTCACATGGAAATTTATAGTTTTGATATTCCAATTTGTTGTTGTTGTTGTTTGTTTTTGTTTTTGAGACAGGGTTTCTCTGCGGCTTTGGAGGCTGTCCTGGAACTAGCTCTTGTAGACCAGACTGGTCTCAAACTCACGGAGATTTGCATGCCTCTGCCTCCCAAATCCTGGGATTAAAGGCGTGCGCTTCCCACTGCCGCCGCCACCACCACCACCACCACCACCACCTGACAATATCCAATGTATTTGTCTACCACCAAAAAAAAAAATGTGCAACAGAATTAGAACTAGAAAAACACGTAGTTTTATATTCTTCTTCATAACTGGTGTTAATTGCCTATATCCAGTCGTACCTCAACCACTGGTTATTTAACATTTCTTGTTCTCTTTTCTCCATGTTCTACTGTGTCCACGTGTACATTCTGTCTATAAACACATAATCATTGGCTAGATTCTTTCTGCGTATGAGGGAAAATAAGATTTCTTTCTGACACTGTATGACCTCACTAATACATGTTCTGACTGCAGCCATTTTCTTGCATGTTTTTATTATATTTTTCTCTTCAGATGAATGGTATTTCCCTATATATGGATATCATTTTAATTATCTATTCATCTGTTAGTAGACAATTAGGTTGATTCTAGTGTTTTGCTTTCGTGAATAAGCAGCAGTTAACATCAGTATAAATGTCTCTATAGTGGGCTGTGGAGTTCCCTGGGTAAATAGCCAGGAGTCAAATAGCTGGAACATACATTGGTTCTATCTTTAATTGTTTAATAATCCTCAGAATGGTTTCCATTTGAGTGTATTAGTTTGCACCCTTCTATACAACACAAACAGCGAATAAGCATATTTCTCTCTCCACATCCTCGCTAACATTTATTGTTAGGTTAGTTGGTGCCTGAGGGGAGGCAGTGTATCAAAGTAGGTTTAATTTAGATTTCTCTAGGGGAACTTTAGGGATCCTGAACACTTTTTGCCGCGTTCATTGGCCATTTATGTTTCTGTCTTTGAAAAGTGTCTGTCTAATTCATTTGCCCATTTGGCAACTGGCAGTTTAATTTCCTTGGAATTTAATTTCTTTAATTCTCAGTGAATTCTAGGTATGAGCTCCTAGCCAAAGTGTTGCTCGTTCAGATTCTGTCCCATTCTGTGGGGTGTCTCTGTGATCTGCTGATTGTTTCTGATGTTGTACAGAATCTGTTTATTTTCATGTAGTCTTGGCTGTTGATACTTGGGTTAGTTTCTATGCTGTTGGTTTTCTAATAAATAAATTCTTGCCCATTCTAATGTATACATGGGTATTCCCTACGTTCTTGTGTATCTTTTTTTTTCCTCTGTGTAGTGTCGGATGAGATTAAAGGCATACGACACCACCATCTGCTGTGTATCTGGTTTTCAATGAGGGTTTTGTTTTTTTTTTTTTTGTTTTGTTTTTGTTGTTTTGTTTTGTTTTGAGACTAGGTTTCTTTGTACCTTTTGAAAGCTGTCCTGGAACTCACACTGCAGACCAGATTGGCCTTGAACTCACACAGATCAGTCTGTCTCTGCCTCCTGAGTGTTTGGGGATTAAAGGTGTGCATCACCATCACCTGGCATAATCATTTATGTATTTTTATTTCCTGTGCATTGGCGTTTTGCCTGCATGTATGTTTGTGTGATGATGTCAGATCTTGGAATAACAGACAGGTGTGAATTTAACCTGGGTCCTCTGGAAAAGCAGTCAGTGCTCTTAATCACTGAGCCATCTCTCCAGCCCTTTGGATAGATTTTTATAATGTGAAAGATAAGAATCTAATATAATTCAAACAGAATTTAATATAATCATTTTCTCACAGGAAATCTAAGTCACTCCCAAATGGACGACAATTAATATAGTTATGTATGCATGCTGAGCTGCAGCTTAAACATTGTTTGATGTGATTTTGGACTTCCCTCAATTTTTATAATTCTTTGTGAGTGAAATCTTCAAAATGTCTGAAGTTGTTTGTCTAAGTCAGCTTCTTAATATTTTCAGAAAAATTTGGATGATACTAATTGTGGCTGATGCTGATTTTTCTATCTGCTTGCAAGTGGCCCAGTGTTATCATAAAATTAATTCTATATACTACTTGTTCTTATATATTAGCATTAACATTTGCAGTACCCAGTGTCACATTCAATGTTACCGTGGGAAAACACCAAACTCTTTGACTATCCAGGCAATCATAAATTTTGCTTTCCACACCTGCTTCCTTGCTATTTAATGATGTGCTTTTGGACCTAGAGTTTAAACATCCCAACTGAACTTGGTAGAATAGAATCATGTAAGGCCCAAGTACATACAGGATTGATTTGGTACCAGTATTGTAGCATGAGCTTCAGGTACAGCATTTAAAAATCACATTTTCTCATCAAGGATTTTCCTTTTGAAACACATACACTATCATCCTGCATGACACACACAGAATCCATAACAGATAGATAACCATGTCCAAACCTTAAATGCCTGTCTTGTTGCAGAGATATGCTTGTGAGACTATTATGTCATCCTGTTTTCTTTTCTTTTTTTTAATTAATTTTTTTGTTTTGTGTTTTTGTTTTTCAAGACAAGGTTTCTCTGTTTTGTTTTGTAGCCTGTCCTGGAACTCTGTAAACCAGGCTGGCCTTGAACTCACAGAGATCTGCCTGCCTCTACCTCCCAAGTGCTGGGATTAAAGGCATTTGACACCAACGCCGGCTTTAATACATTTTTATTTAAACTAGAAACAATCTTATTACCCAGTTCTGTCTCCCTCCCATGCCCCTCACCCATCCCATCCTCCACCCACTCCCCAGAGAGGGTGAGGCCTTCCATGGGAGATTTGTGGCAGGGCTTAGGCCCTCCTTCATCTATCTGGGCTGAGAGAATATCCGTCCATGGGAAATGGGCTCCCAAAGTCCATTCATGCACTAGGGTATAAATACTGGTTCCACTGCCAGAGGCCCCATAGACTGGCCAGGCCTCCCAACTGACACCCACATTCAGGTGGCATGGTTAGGTCCTATGCTGATTCCCCAGCTGTCAGACTGGGGTCAATGAGCTCGCACATGCTCAGGTCAGTGAGTTTTCCCAGCATGGTCTTGACCCCTTTGCTCATCACTCCTCCCTCTCTACAACTGGACTCCAGGAGTTTGGCTCATAGTTTAGCTGTGAATCTCTGCTTCTGCTTCCATCAGCTACTGCATGAAGACTCTGTGATGGCATTTAAGGTAGTTATCAATCTCATCATAGGGGAAGGTCATTTAAGGTAGCCTCTCCACTATTGCTTAGATTCTTAGGTGTCATCCTTGTGGATCCCTGGACACTTCCCTAGTGCCAAATTTCTCATCATCCTGTTTTCAGAGTTAGAACATTCATTGTACAGTGTGACTGTATTAGAAATCATCTTTTTCAGTAATTCTCTTTGCTCATTTACACCTCTAATTTCGTTATGTCTCCTTATAGCCAGAAAAAGCACTCTGCCTAGTGTCACATGATCAAGCTCTACCTTTTGTTTCAGGGTCTATCAACATTCAGAGATGTGACTGTGGACTTCTCCCAGGAGAAGGAATGCCTGGACTCTGCTCAGAGGACTTTGTACATTGATGTGATATTGGAGAATTACAACAACCTGGTTTCTCTGGGTGAGAACATTTTGCTTATAACATTCCTAACTCAGTCTTTGTATATACCTACTTTATAGGTTGTGAACTGTCAGGCTGTCTTGGAAACGACATGAGACTAGAGAGTGCGTGGTAGTAAAAAGAAGTTCTTTCCTTGGTATTTGATTTTGCTTTTTTTTTTTTTTTTTGCATTTTTCATTTTAGTCCTTCACCCTTCATGTTAGTTCCACAATGCATTCAGAAACTCACTGGCATATAGTATTTCCACCCCATCTTATAGCCTACTGTCCATCGTTACACCCGACATTGTTTTAATTGTGAGAAAAACTAAGGATGTGGAAACTTAAAATTCTCCCTCAATGCATTAAAGACTCTGATAGGAAATAGAAATTGGGACATCATTCCAGTGTTGTTCTACTTTGTATTCTCTTCATGTAATGGGCAGAGTACTATGTTAGATATCTGTATTTCTAAAAATTCTAGCATGGGTCACGGGCTACCTCACAGAACACATGGATTATTGTATGCAAGGCAGGCCTGGTCAGCTGTCTGAAGTAAATGAGATTGCCCTGGAATGTGGAGAGGAGAGAGAACCACAGCCAGGGTGGACTAGTGAATGAGCAGGACAACAGTGAAGACTTCAAGTGAAAGAGAAAGCCAGAGCTGAGAATGTTTTTTGCTTCCTTTAATTCTACTTGAAAGGGCTCCTCATCATTGAAATTAGTGTAGTGTCCTGGCCCCAGAATGCATGTGGCCTGTGGAAAATATTAGAATGCATTGTGCCTTGTTGCACCTGAATTATGGTGACACTATGTGTACAAAAATGCAATTTTATTTCAGTATGTTGGCAATAGATTAGAATAATTTTACGAGATATAAGCCCAATGTGAAGAGGGATTATTATTTAGTTGCCTACCTGCATGTATGTCAATGGTGGCTAGAAATAAGCAGTGACTTTTTGTGATAGCCCTGCCTCAAATAGTCTTGAGCAGCGGTTGTCAGCGTTGGTAATGTGACGACCCTATAATGCACTTGCGTACATTGTAGTGATCCCCAACCATAAAATTATTCTGAGTTCCACTTCTTGCCAAATTTTGCTACTAAGTGATGTCTCAGTTCCTAAGATCATCAGAATACGTGTTTTTTAGATGGTCACGACCCACAGGTTGAAAACTGCTGATCTAGAGCTTCTGACATCTGGCAGAATCCTTGCGTTTGCATCCATTACTTTTGAAGAATCTTAATTGGATTTTTTTTTTGGAGGGGGAACCTTTTGCTTTTCAGTAAGCCTTTGATCTTAAAAGGCATTGAGTCTTCTGAACTGTAGTCTTCATTACTGTTCATTAGTAAGTACAAAGACTGAACCTGGGATTGAATTATATTCTTCTTCAAAAACTTCTGAGAAAAAAATGTTTAAAAATACGGAAATGTATTCTGAATATATCCAGTCAGTGATTATTTGTTTCAAGTTACTTGAAGGCTATCACTATTTTTGTGAAAATCCATATAATTATAGTGAAAGGATGAGGTTAACTATTGCGAGCTCTATTCTAAGTAGTTGTTGGTTAAATTATCTTAAGAGAAAACTTAGGCAGAAAGTTATTTATCAAATGTTTAATCTTGGAGTGGGGCATTGGTGACGCACGGCTTTAATTCCAGCACTCGGGAGGCAGAAACAGGTGAATCTCTGAGTTTGAGGCCAGTCTGGTCTACAGAGAGAGTTTCCAGGACAACCTCCAAAACAATACAGAGAAACCCTGTCTTGAAAAACAAAACAATAAAAAAAAAGTTTAATCTTGGAACAAACCCTATTAATCTAAATTATCCTTGTTTTCAGAGAACTATTACATATGTGATCCTGTCCATCACCATGTAAAGACTGAAAAGGAGTCTTGTCAGTGTGATGAGCTTGACAAAGTGCTTCATGACCCCTCCACATGTGCACTTCATAGAACAAGTGAATCTACAGAAAACTCTAATGACTACACATGCAGTAGTCACAGGGATGCCTCTGTTGACTTATCAAACCCAGACAGACATGAAAGCATGCACTCTGGAGAAGAACCTTGCAGACCTAAAGACTGTGAGAAATCTGTAAATTTGTGTTCTAGCATTACTCAAGATCAGAGATTATATTCTGCAAAGAAACACCATGGACGGGGAGAATATGATGACTATTTCATCTCTGCATACAGTCTTATGCAGCAAACAATCTGTATTAGAGAGAAGCAACACCAGTGTAAGGAATGTGGGAAATCCTTCAGTAGTGCCTCAAACCTCAGTGTACATCGGAGAATTCATACTGGAAAGAAACCCTACAAGTGCACTTTTTGTGAAAAATCCTTTACCCAGCGTTCAACTCTTAAAATACATCAAAGGCTTCACACTGGGGAGAAACCTTACAAATGCAAAGAGTGTGGAAAGTCATTTCGCCAGTTGTCAGGATTTAAGAGCCATCAGAAATTGCATACTGGAGAGAAGCCTTACAAATGCAAAGAAAATGGAGAGTCTTTTATTGAAAAGTCAAGTCTTAAAGGGCATTACAGAATCCATGCTGAAGGGAAATGTGAGGTAAGTGACACATCCTTTCCTCTGAACTCAACTCTTGGAGCATATCAGAAAATGAATACCAGAGAGAGACCTTGCAGATGTAGGGAATGTGAGAAATCCTTTACCTCTAACTCGTATCTTAGAATACTGTTGGGGGTTCATAGAGAGAGAGAGAGAGAGAGAGAGAGAGAGAGAGAGAGAGAGAGAGAGAGAGAGAGAGAGAGAGAGAGAGAGAGAGACGTTACAGTAGTAAGGAATGTGACAAGTCTTACTAGGTGCTCCTATCTCAGAACACATCAGAAAATTCACACTGGAGAGAAACATACTATTTAAAATAATGTGACATGGCAGTTATCTGGAATTCTCTGCTTACCAATCTCAACAGTATACATAATAGAAACACAAAGGTCAGAGACTTGAATGCCTTTAGAGAAGATCTAAATCTTAGAAAAATATCATGGAGTTTATATTAAAATTAAACTCTGCAAAATAACTGGGAAGTTTTTTTGTGTTTTGTTTTGGTTTTGCTTTTTTTCCCCCTGTGTATGGTGGCACTGCCTGCAAATATTTCTCTACACTACATGTCTTCATTGTGCCTGGGCAAAAATCAGGCCAGAAGACGGCATCAGGTCTTCTGAAGATTGATTAACAGAAAATTGTGAGCTGCTGTGTGTGTTGGGACTTGAACCCCATCCTCTGAAAGAGCATCCACTGCTCTTAACCACTAAGCATTATCTCCTGTCCTTGGAGAATGCTGCAATAAAAACCTTTATCTTTTTCAACATGCAAAAATTCATAATAATGTCAAGCGATGTACTCCTTTAATGCCAGCATTTAGGAGACAGAGGCAGGAAGATCTCTGAGTCAGAGGCTATATTGGTCTACATTAGTTTTAGGACAGTCAGGACTGCATAAACTGCCCCAATAACAGCAACAAATAGTCATAATGAGCACAAAATGAATTAACAAAAAAATGTGACAAAATACTCCCATTTTGCTGTATGTCACAAAACTTGAAGTTCTGAGGAACCGTATAAAAATATAGCGTGTATATGTAAACTCCACGTGTTGCTGTTCATTGGAAATTCCAACCCCAAAATGTATTCATTTGGGTAAATCCTTTCCCTGGTTCTGAAATTGTACACATAAAAAGGATTCATCATGAAAGAAACAAATGGTCTAATAGAGCTTCGCCTTTTGTTTACCTTTAGAATCTTTGTTCTAGAGTGGAACCTTAAAAATAGCAAGGTCAGAAACTGTAGAGGGTTAGCGCATGTGACGTCTCTGGCATGCTTGCATACAGCTCACAAAACCCAAAGGCTTTCTACAGAGAGTGGGTGCTGCAGAGTTGCAGCAGTCTGCTTCCTGTGCGGGAGAACAGTTTGCTTGCAGTCTCCCTTGCTCCTCCTCAGGGTTTCTTGCCACATTAACCTGCAAGTGTGTGAGCTTTGTGTGAATGAGTCTCACAGAGTAAAGTGAACTCCCCAGAGGAGCAAAGAAAATCTACATGAAATGTTCTCTCTTCTTCTTGTGTGTCCCTTGGGAGGTGAAGTTTCCATCATCTTGCATCCATGATAAATTCAGAACGTCACTAGTGTATGATATTCTCATCCCAATCATTCAGTTCCATTTTTGCCCCTGAGATTTGACTGAGCTATGATTGGAAGTGAGATTCAAGTTACACTAACTGAAAATGAACACTTCTAAATATTCTCAGCATTCTGATATTGCACGACAGTTAGGAAATCATTTGTATAACCCGGTAATTCGTTTTCTCTTCATCTACTGAGCACAGCACTGTGTGAGAAATCCAGGGGCTTCCTGAACAATCTCTTTCTCATGTGCAGGGCTCACTGATCACCCAGACCTGCTCACCTGTGCAGCAGAACAAAGGGGCCTGGAAGGTGGAAAGAGAGGAGACAGAAGCTATGGATCCAGGTATGGTGGAACCATTGGTGAAAGGGTGGAAAGGGGTTCAAATGAATGTGGAAATGGGACAGGAAATCAGTTTTGCCGCATTCTGTTTCACTAGAAATAATTCTAGAAACCTCTACTTCGAAAAATCTCGTTATCCTGATGTAGCATACCTATAATAGGTATGCAGCAAAGGCATGTAGAAAGGAGACGGTTCTACAGAAAAATTGATACTAGGATACAAAACAGAATTTTATTTGAGTATGCATGTGAGTGATACTATCCATATCCATTTACATCACTGATCATGTCCCCATACCAATATTAGAAGTTCCCATTTCTATTATTTTAACATGATTATAAGAGGATGAAAATAAATACGTCTAGATTTATTGACTTTCAGAATTTTTGTGCTTTGTTATTCTAACACATAATCTTAGGTTAATGTCTCCCGTTCCAAAAGAATTTTGATAAGAATCAGGAAATATTTGCCGACTTTTAAACTCAGTCTAAACTGTCTTCCAATGGATATCTCTTATTGTCTGTGGTCATAACAATTCCATCTGGTTTCCATTGCTGTAATTGTAATATACTGTGAGATCACCTCTAAATTTTATCCTCTTAGTATTGTATGACTCTTTACTGTTTCTTGGTGCTCTGGGGATTACTTTCTGTAAAATATGCAAATAGGATGGTGATAGGAATTGCTTGGAGTCTTAGACAACACAGAACTTCTAGGTTGTCTTGTGTCTGAAAAGAACGTGAATTAACACATCAGTTTTCACTTTTTATTTTTAAGAATAATTTATTATATATACAATATTCCACCTGCAAGTATGCCTGCAGGCCAGAAGGGGGCACCAGATCTTGACGGATGGTTGTGAGCCACCATGTAGTTCTTGGGAATTGAACTCAGGACCTCTGGAAGAGCAGCAAGTGCTCTTAACCTCTGAGCCATCTCTCCAGCCCCAGTTTTCACATGTTCTATGTATTCTACTGTTTTCTGTCTGCTGTGGATGTCTGCATTCTGTTTAGGTGACATGCACCTGTGTTGAACAAGAACTTTCTATCTAATGAACCATTCTATCATTTGATAAGAATGATCACTTTGTATTTTGATGCTTTAGTCTTGATTTTTCTGTCACTATTTTAATTATGATCGACCGTCTTCTTTACTGCTGTCCAGATTTAAAAAAGAATTCCTTCTTTGTCAATTTGTTGTGTATTTAGATGTAAAATGAATTATTGGTTTAAAAAAATACATTTTTAAAGATTTGTTTGTTATGTATACAGTGTTCTGCCTGTGTGTATACCTGCAGGCCAGAAGAGGGCACCAGATCTCATTACAGATGGTTGTGAGCCACCATGTGGTTGCTAAGAATTGAATTCAGGACCTCTGGAAAAGCAGCCAGTGCTCTTAACCACTGAGCCATCTCTCCATTCCCAAAAATATGTTTTAAAATCAGCTGTAATCTTGTGTTTTATTTGATGAGCTTGGAAATATTACCTGTTTACATTTCAAGAAATTACTGAAAGAAATGCATTTGTTATGTTTTAGGAACTTGAATGTGTTCACTGACTAGGCAGAATTAAGATCTCTGTATATTAAATTTACAATGTCTTAAGACAACAATGTAGAACTTTTTAATATGTACATATTGGCCATTTCATTGGCTTATTTATTGATTATATTATCATTTCTATTTTTTATGGATCCTGGGTTTTCATCCATTGTACTATAAAAAGATAGTTAATAAATGTATCTGCTCAAATAGATAACTAAATAAATACATAAATCTGCTGTTTAGGCTTGTCATTTAATTATTTCCCTGGATATTTTTAATTTTACACAGAACTATTTGTCTGTCCCTGCTGCTGTATCAAGTATTGCCCCTTTGTGTTACTCTGTAGGATTCACTGTTTCAGATCATACATGAAGGTCTGTGATTGATTCATTGTATGGTAGGAGCGTCTTGGATGGAGGATTTTGTTTTTGTGTGAACCTTTTCCCAGTACCTCTGTTTGAAGAGGCTATGTAGTCTGCAACACATGTTTGTGGTATTTTGGTGACATTTATGTGGTCATGGCTATTGGGCAAGTTCTAGATCTCCTGCTCCATTGCATTGGGCTGATCTGGAATCACACTGGGATAACTCGAGCATTACATTTTCTTCTGTTACCCAGTAAGTGGTAGGTTTCTCTACTATTTTTGTTAAGTATATTATAGGGAATTGAATCTCATGTGCATTCAATTAGCTATATAAACCACTTTCAGGAACACTGCATATTTCTCAATGTTATGTCCCCTTCCATCTGTGTAAAACATCTTTCCACGTTCTAGTTAACATCTTCCCCAGTTCTGTCAGCAATTCATCATCATAGAGGCCTTTCATCTGCTTAGTAAGTTCATTCCAGGGCATCTATTTTGTTTCTTCCCTGTCTCTCCCCCCTAATTTTTATTTTCTATTCATTTTATTAAATTTACACATATATATGTGTGTGTGTGTGTGTGTGCTTTTTTTTCTTGCATGAATGACTATATCATGTGCATTCTGAAATTGTAGTTGGGGACAGTTGGATTCACAGTGTAGATTCCGGAATGGAACTTGAGTCTCTGCAAATCAACAGGTATTCATAACCATTAAGCTTTTTCTCTAACACCCTATTAAGTGTACTAGCAACTATAGAAAATATTATAAAGCCATTCTGATCATTTGTTTTTTTCATCTAGATGATCCAAAATCTTGACGTTACACGGGCATATGTTATTCCTCTTTCTTTCCTTCTTTCTTCCTTTCTTTCATTCTTTCGTTTTGTTTCTGACATTTCTAAGAGACACAGCAAATACCATTTTCCTCTGGCTCTTACTGAGGCTTAGGTGCAAAAGATGTATTTTGTAGTAATCTCCATGTGTTGCTAAAATAATTCCCCTTGCTTGAGGGCGAGGACTACATTTATCTGTGAGAACAAGGGTAAATATTTAGGATGCAGTTAGGGATTAGGCTGATTTAGCAAAGAAGTGGCTGCAGATCCTCTTCAGGATCACTGACTTAGGGAAAGTGGCTAGGCTTCCAGTACCAGGCATGATTTCCCACTTGCGGAGAGGGTCGTAAGTCCAACTGAAAGGCGTTGGTCACCACCACGGTGTGTGTCCACTCTTGCACCCTTAGCACTGTGATACAGTGCAGATTTTTGTGGCTCATCGGTGTCATAGCTGGCTTGGCTCTGTCCTTTGGAAGGTTACATGTTGCCTTCTGCTACCATGAAAGCTTGCCCTCAGTTAGGAGGTGTTAGTATCGGTTCCATCGTGAGTCCTCTGCAAGTTGTGTCTGAAGTGCATGGCTTCTTCAACAGTAGGTGTACTCAACTTCTACCTCCAAGAGGCCAATATGAGCAATAGCAATAGCCTGTAATGTTTGCAATTCTCTTGGAAAGTTGTTATCACGACTTCAAAGGCGTCTCATGGCTACTCTTGGTACTTTTGTTTAAATATCTCTGGCTCTTGTGTGGGGCATTATCAGCTCAGTTGGGACATTGCTATTTATATTCTAAATGTATATGCTTGCATAGACTCACATGTTATAGGCATGTTTTTGGTAGATGAATGATAGTATGATTCCATATGACGTTAGGCATCTCTACTGTTATTTTACCCTCCTGTGTTTATATCTGTCCCTTCTCCATCCCTGCCCATTTTTTTCCATTTTCCCCTGCGGATCACTTGTTCCCTATTACTCCCATCTCTGCTACTCCTGCACACCCCACCGTGATCTGTTTTTGCTTTTCTTGTTGCTGCAGTCAATCCAGGTCGTGTACTCAAATGGAAAGATTTGGAGCTAAGAACTTCCTGTGAGAGACATCATACAATGTTTGTCTTCCTTGTTCAGGTTACCTCATTCAATATATTCTTTTCGACATCCATCAATTTATTTACAAAGCTCGTGATTTCAGGTTTTTTTTAACAGCTGAATCATATTCCATATTGTAAATGGACCACATTTTCACTATCAATTTGTCACTTGAAGGAGACTTAGATAGGTTACTCTTTATAGCTATTGTGAGCAGAGCTCTGATGAACATTGCCGAGGACATATCCCTGGAGTAGGATGTAGAGTCCTTTGACCATATACCATGGAGTGGAACAGCTGGGTCATGTGCTGAATTCATTTAACTTGAGAGTTTGTGTATTTAATTGAGGATTTCTCATATTGATTTTGGGAGTGGCTAGATATTTTGTTGCTAGGGCTTTTATTTCCTATCCTTTTGTTTTGGGTGCTATGACAGGTTGGGTTATTGGGGGTGCTTTTTTCCCCCTTCTGTGTGAGAATTAGTGGTTTGCTCTCTTCCCATTTCTCCTGTATTTTTCTCTTTTAGTATGAAATTCATTATTTCCCATGTTGTCATGGATAATTCTCTGATACTCCTCAAATTTATTGTGTGTTTGCTGCTTTCATGAAGTAAATTGTCCAATGTTAATTCCTGACTCTTCTCAACTGCACTTAGGTCTCCATCAATTTTAAGAGAGTATTATTCTGAGTGCAACAATATGTATGGGTGGCAGTGATTTTTCTTCATAAGCTTTAAATTTGGTCCATACTCCCTTGGCTTTGGGACCACTGACCACATACATGGTAATATTCTGTTTCTTAGGACCTTTCATGTGGTTTGACATTGTTACTTAAAAGCTTTCCTTACTGATTTTTGCTTTTCTTTTTTAACTCCTTTATATGAAAGGGCAGCAAGACATCAGACATCTATTGTTCCTGAAAGAGAAATTCAACAAAGAGAAACACCATGAAATCACTGATTCTACAGGACATATGTCCCAGGTCATTCATTGGTCATGTCAATTGTGTTTTCTGGAAATGTTGTATTTGGAGACATTGAAAACCTTTGATGTTCTGCTTCTGATACTGTTTTAATTTTATTATAAAACCCCCACCCAACCCCCACCCCGTTCTCCCAGGAGGGTAAGGCCCTCCATGGAAGACCTCTAGAGTCTGTCATTTCTCAACCCTAATATTGAACCTTTCTTGTTATCTGCTGTGGCCACGTGTATGTTGTTTCCATAAACATACACCATTGGCTAGATTATGCATATGAGGGAAAACATGATTTCTGACACTGTATGGCCTCACTTAATATTACATATTCTAAATCAATACATTTTCCTTCACATTTTATTATATTTTTCTCTTTAGCTGACTAGTATCACACTTTCATTATCCATTCGTTATTCCATTTTCATTATCCATACATTTGTTGATGGGTGTTTAGTTTGATTCCAATACTTTGCTATGCTGAATACCCAGCAGTAAACATGGGGAATAAGTATCTCTACAGTGGGGCTGTGAAGCTTTCTGGGTATATGCCCTGGAGTGAAAAGCCTGTGGTCATTTTTGGTTCTATCTTTAAGTTTTCAAGAATTCTCAAGCTGATTTCCATTTGAGTTTATTAGTCTGTTTCCCCACTCACATACACAACACAACAACAGTTTATGAGGGTTCCTTTCTTGTCACATCCCCTATAACATTTGTTGTCACATTGGTTGATGACAGCCATTCTGCCGAGAATGAGGCAGTATATCAAAACATTAGTTTACATTTCCACTGTGGCATGTTAGGGATCCTGAACACACTTTCCTACATTTACTAGCCATTTGTTTCTGCCTTTGAAAGATACTTGTTCACTTCACTTGCCCATTTGTTGATTGGCAGTTTCATGCCCTTGGAATTTACTTTGGATAATTCTCAGTGAATTCTAGGTATGAGCTGCTATTCAAAGTGTCGCTGGTACAGATTCTCTCCCATTCTGGTGGTGTCTGTATGCTCTCCTGACTGTTTCCGTTGACACACAGAAACTCAGTACTTTCATTTAGTCCCATCTTTTGACACTTGGGTCAGTTTCTGTACTGTTGGTATTCTTTCTAATCCAGAAGTCATTGCCCATCCCAATGTCCTCCCGGGTACTCCCTATGTTTTGTAGTTTCTTTGTTTCTGGGTTTTAGTAAAGCTTTGATTCATTGTAGCATTATCTGTAGATACACTATTTAAAAGCACAGTATTTCCTCATCACATATTTTCCTTCTGAGGCATGTACACTCTTATTGCTCATGACACAAACATAGCATTTGTTACAGACAGCCATGTTCAGACTTCAAATGTGTTTCTTGTTTTATGTATATTGCTTGTAAGAATATTGTGTCATCTTGTTTTCACAGGGTTAGAACACTCATTATAGAGTGTGACTGTGTTAGAAATCATTGTTTTAGTAATGGTCTTTACTCATCAACATGCCTAGTTGCTTACATCTCCTTATTTCCAAAAAGAACTCAGTCCAGTCAAACTGTAATTTTTTGTTTCAGGGTCTGTTGACATTCAGGGATGTGACTGTGGACTTCTCCCAGGAGGAGTGGGAATGCCTGGACTCTGCTCAGCAGTCTTTGTACATTAATGTGATGTTGGAGAATTATAACAACCTTGTCTTTGTGGGTGAGAACATTTGGCTTGTACTGACTCAAAGGTTGTGAAATCTCTGTTAAACTATCATGAAAATAAGAGGAGACAAGGCAAAGTTTGGTAGTAGGAAAGAACTTTTTCATGGTATCTGAAAAAGACAAATAAACCTCTTTGATTCTTTTAAGTAGGCCTCTAATCTAAAAATGAACAATACTCTTCATGGCTGTTCATTAGTAGGTACAAATACTGTGAACCTGGGATGGAATTAAACTATTCTCCATCAATTTCTGAGGAAAAAAAACATAAAAATGGAAACATTCTAAATACAATCAATGACTGAATTCCTTCCCAAATTCCTCAATCATTTGTTTCGTCTTCCTCGAAGGCTATTACTGCCTTTTGTGAGAATCCATATAATTATAGTGAAAGGAAAAGGTCAATTACTGTGAACTTTATTTTGAATATTTGCTTTTGATTTATATTATAAGAGAATTTAGGGAGACAGTCATGTATCAAATGTTTAATTTTGGAACAAGCCCTATTAATATGACTTGTACTCATTTTCAGAGAACTATTGCAAATGTGATCCTGTCCATCACCATGTGAAGACTGAAAAGGAGTCTTGTCAGTGTGATGAGCTTGACAAAGTGCTTCATGACCCCTCCACATGTGCACTTCATAGAACAAGTGAATCTACAGAAAACTCTAATGACTACACATGCAGTAGTCACAGGGATGCCTCTGTTGACTCATCAAACCCAGACAGACATGAAAGCATGTACACTGGAGAAGAACCTTGTCTGTCTAAAGACTGTGAGAAATCTGTAAATTTGTGTTCCAACATTACTCAAGATCAGAGACTCTATACTGCGGAGAAAGAGCACAGGCAGGGAGAATATGATGACTATTTCAGCTCTCTATTTGATCTTTGGCATCAAGCAGTTTATATAGGAAAAAAACCACACCAGTTTGGTAAATTTGATAAATGCTTCAATACCACCTCAAACTTCACTTTACATAAGAGAATTCATACTAGAGAGAAACCCTACAAGTGCAGTGTTTGTGACAAATCCTTTACCTGGTGCTCAAATCTTGAAAGACATCAAAGGGTTCATACTGGAGAAAAGCCTTACAAATGTGGGGTGTGTGGCAAATCCTTTAATGTGAACTCAAGTCTTGAAAGACATCAGAGAATTCATACAGGAGAAAAGCCTTACAAATGTGGGGTTTGTGACAAATCCTTTAATGTGAACTCAAGTCTTAAAATGCATCAGAAAACTCATACTGGGGAGAAACCTTACAAATGTAGGGAATGTGACAAATCCTTTACCCAAAACGCACATCTTAAAAGACATCAGAGAGTTCATACTGGAGAGAAACCTTACAGATGTCAGGAATGTGACAAGTCCTTTACTAAGTGCTCAACTCTTCAATCACATCAGAAAATTCATACTAAAGAGAAAACTTACAAATGCAAAGCCTGTGACATATCCTTTACCCAGTACTCAAATCTGAAAAAACATCAAAGAGTTCATCCTAAAGAGAGACCTTACTTCTGTAAGGAATGTGGCAAATTTTTTACTAGCAACTCATATCTTAAAATACATGAGAAAATTCACACTGGAGAGAAACCTTACAAATGCAAAGAGTGTGGCAAATCCTTCACCCAGTGTTCAACTCTTAGAGTACATTACAGAGTTCATACTCGAGAGAGACCTTGCATATGTAAGGAATGTGGCGAATCTTTTACTAAGTCCTCAAGTCTTAGAGCACATCAGAAAAATTCACACTAAAGAGAAAAATACTGTTGTAAATAAAATGACATAGCATTTATCTTGTATTCTCTGCTTACAAATCCTAACAGTTTACATAAAAGAAACATAAGGATTAGAAACTTGTAAAAGCCTTTCAAGTTTTAAATCTTGAAAAGTATCAGAGTTTGTATTAAATTAAAATTCTGCAATTCTGAGTGAAAATCTTTTTTAAATATGTGTAGGTGTTTGGACTGCATGTGTGTCTGTACATTATATGTATGCTTCCTGTGTGTGGAATCCAAAAGAGGGTATCACATCCACTGAAGCTGGAGTTAAAGGCAATTGTGAGCTGCTGTATGTCTTGGCAACTGAAACCTTGTTCTCTGTAAGAGCAGCCAGTGCTCATAACCGCTACACCATCCAACTACTGGGGGAAAGATATAATAAAAACTTATCTTGTTCAGTATCCCAAATTTCATAGTAATGCCAGGCATGGTGGTTGTAGTGGTTTGAAAGAAAATGGCCAACAAAGAGTGTGGCACTATTAGGCAGTATGGCTTTGTTGGAGTAGGTGTTGTCTCTTTGGAGGAAGTGTCACTGTGGAGGTTGTCTTTGAGTTCTCATATATGCTCAAGATACCACGAAGTGTCTTGGGTCCACTTCCCTTTGCCTTTGGATCAAGATCTAAGGACTTTCACCTCAAGTACCACCTCTGACTGCCTGCTGCCTTGCTTCTCCCCATGATGATAAAGGACTAAACCTCTGAACTATTAAGTGAGCCATCCCTAATAAATGCTTCTCTTTGTAAGAGTTGCCGTGGTTGTAGGGTCTCTTGACAGCAATGGAAAACCTTAAAATAGAAATTGGTCCCAGGGACTTTGGTGTTGTTGGGAGAGGCCTGAGTATGTTTTTGTTTGAAGGAATGTAGGTAGGCCCGAGCGCTGTTGGTTAGGAAAGCAGTTATCTGCTTTAAATGGTGATTAATGGGGTATTAGTAGGAGCATGGAAGACTGTGGTAACGTGGAGAAGAATGTTAGTATGTGGCCTAGACATTGTTCTTGTGATATTTTGGTGAAGAATGGCTGCCTTTTGCCCTGCCCAAAGGGTCTGCCTGGGAGTAAAGGGGAGAGTTTGGGTTAATTGCATTGACAGAAGAAATCTCAAAAAAGCCTAGTATAGACTCTGTCTTGTGGTTGTAAGTAATAACTGTAATGAAGTATTTATAAAAGATCAATCAAGCTGGTCAAGAAAAAAAATATGGGATGTAAAACAATTTGAGAAAAGCAGCAAGAGGAATGCAGTTAAATTCTGTGTTCAGGGAGATAAACAGGTTAATAAATGGTACAAAGGGAGTGGGACCTCAGGACAAGATCCCACCCAGATAAATTTCTAACTTGTGAAAAGGTATTAAAGAAAGCTTAGAGCCAGTTATAGTGATGCATGCCTTTAATCCCAGCACAGGGATGGCAGAGGAAGGCCGATCTCTGAGTTTGATGCCAGCCTGATCTACAGGGTAAGTTCCAGAACAGCCACCCTTAGGCAGTGAAGAAAACTATCAAATACAGAAAGCTGGTGAAGATGTAAATTAAAGAAGGGGCATTGTTTCAATTCCAGTAAACCCTAATATTTCTGAATTCAAGGTTAGAAGAAAGTCTTGAATGGAGGGCCAGGAAGGTAATTGTGTGAAGCTGTTAAGAAGCCTGGGTTGCCATGGAGACCCCAACATGTTAGAGATGCCAGAATCATGGGATATCTTCTGAGGAAAGTTGCCAACAGGGACTGGAACCATCCAAGAAAAAGAATTATGTTGCAGTCAATAAAACTGAAGGAAGTTGAAACTCTGAAGAGCATTTTGACATCAGATGTGGAAATGCGCAGTTTGGAGTTTTGTCTTGCATTGGTCCAGTTTCTTCACTATGCTCCCTTCTCTGTGTTTTAGAATGGCAGTGCATGTCCTGTGCCATTATATGTTGGAAATATTTGATCTATTATTTGATTTTGGTTGTGTAGGGGATTACAGTTAAAGAAATTTCATGACTCTAAGAAGAGACTTTGAACTTTGGAATTTTAGACATTGTTGAGACTGTGACAGACTTTGGAGTCTTTTGAAGTTGTACTGAATGGATTTTTCCATAATGACATGGCTATAAGCCTTTTGGGGCCGAGGAGTGGAATGTGGTATTTTGAAAGAAAATGGCCCCTAAAGTGAGTGTGACTGTTAGGGAATGTGGCCTTGTTGGAGTAGGTGTGGCCTGTTGGCAGAAGGATGTCACTGTGGAAGTGAGCTTTGAAGTCTCATGTACAAGCCATTCCCAGTGAGATCATTCACTTCCTGTTGCTCTGGATTATTAAAAGACAGCTTACTCTGTTTCCTTTTTAGTTAAACAGATTTTGATCATGTCCTTAGCTAGAGGTTAAGTTTTTTAAGTAGTTTTTCCTCAGTAACATTGTGAATTGCACATTGCAAATGGTTTCCATTCTTTGGAGAATTGACTGACCATAAGATGTTTTGTGGTATTTTAACTCTCTGACCATCAACCCATAACATGCATCGTTCTCATGATCATAAAAATAACTTTTAATCATTTGCTTGGTGGGTATAGAGAGACTACTCTGCCTTTAATCTGGGCTGTTTTCATTCCCCTACTATGGGAGCCTGCAAACATAACAGAACCATTAATAAATTTTTCCTTTGCTATATCTTGGTGTTAGCTCCTGGTTCTTGACACTATAACAGGATCAAGATCTAAGGACTCTCACCTCCAATACCACCTGTGCCTGCAGGCTTCCTTGCTTCCTGCCATGATGATAATGAACTAAACCCCTGAACTGTCAGTGACTCACCTTTAATCCCAGCACTTGGAACACAGAACTAGAAGGATGTCTGTGATTCCGAGGCCAGACAGATCTACATAGTGAGTTCCAGGACAGGCAGGACTATATAAACCCTGTCCAAAAAAATTATAAAGACAAAATATCGTATCCCCAATGTGACAAAGACTTTAGTTTTCCCTATATTTTTTATACATAACAATATTTATGCTTCTAAAAAACCATATGAATGTATGCAATATATAATCACCGTGTCTTGCTGTTATTCATTGGAACTTCCACTCCCCAAGCCCATTTAACTTGACAAATCCATGACTTAGTGCTGAAATTGTAGACATAAATGTAAGTTCATGCACAAAATGTTTCAGTGCATTCTCATCTGTTATTCACTTTCCAAATCTTCAAACTATGGTCAAACCATACAAATGTCAAGAAGATGGGAAACTGTTGAGTTACTCTGTGATTGTGATAATGTGCATTCACACATAGCTTAAAAATAACCAAAGTCAGGGCTGGAGAGATGGCTCAGAGATTATGAGCTCTGATTGCTCTTCCATGGAACCTCTGTTTGACTTAAATCATTTACAAGACAGTTCTCAAGTGTCTGTAACTCTAGTATTAGGGGATCTGATGCTTTCTTCTGGATGTTGCAGGCACTGCATGTGTATACTGTAGCAGTCTTGCAGTGAACTTGTAATGGTGGCCACATCCCCTTGGGTGTGGCCTCTGGCAGGCAGAAGCAGAAAGAGGGAAGCTTGAGGTGTGGCTTTCCTTTACTCTTTCCTTTCTGGTGGGTCAGCCAACCAGGTAGGAAGAGCGGAGAAGCATTCCCGTGGTTCTTTGTATTTTTCTGTGTAATTGTTCCCCGATAAACACCTATTTGTCATGTATCTTGAGTCTAGAGAAATAATTACACCCTTGCCTTCAATATACTGAACAGACATAAGTGGGCAAAGTACCCATACACCTAAAATTGAAGAATTATTTTTTTAATCCAAAAGATGGAAAGGCATGGTAGCATATACCTTTAATCCCTGCAATCTGGAAGCAGAAGAAGGTGGATGTCTGTGAGATCAAGTTCAGACTGGTTTACAGAGCAAATACCAAGACAATCAGGGTTATACAAAGAAGCCCTGTCTAGAAAAAAGAAGAAGAAAATCCCTGGATATGTGCAGGAACTCATTTTGAAGTGCTGTAGAAACATGGGGAAGTATCTACTCCAATCTCTAAAAGAATGCACCTGCCCTTAACTGCCAGTACACTTTCACTGAAGGAAAGGAGACTCCTGGGACCCACCCGAACCATGATGAAATGGTAATCGTCCCAATCTTCCACAAATGCTCTCATTCCTTTTTGAACAGCTATTTAATCTGGATTAATCACTACTCACTGGAAGAGGAGACTCCTTTAACCAAGGGTGAGAGTAGTACAAATCATAATTATAAGCATGAATATTTAGATGGAAAATTAGCAACATGATCATTATCAAAACATCTATAGGTAATGCCCCTGGACCTGTAATTCCCCCACCATGGTTTTTTACCATATTTACTATTCCAGGCATGAATTCCCTTCTGTGGAGCTGATGTCAATCCTGTCAAGGGAGAGGATGGTTATGCCCATAAGCAGTAGTGATTATCACACCAGTACATACATCTTGACTAATGTTGGTTTTGTTAGTTCAGGATAAAGGTTGTGAATTATATTCCAAAGTTAAGGAGATAAATGCATTTGATTATCCTAATTCATCAATTATGAGTTGTAGGAGGAAAACAATGCCGCCATTAACCATGTGACTTACTAGAGGCACATACAGATGAGGTAATAAGAGAGCAGTTTACCACACCACTAACCACACCCACTTTAGGCATGACTAAAGACTTATACGGACAGATGTAAAGACGTATACGGACATAGACTGTGAACTATGTCACTAGCCAGGCCGACTTTTGGGCATGGCTAGGGGCGTTATGGGGGAAGGTATAAAAGACTGAACAACGGAAGTCTTGGTCTCTTTTTCTGGCTTTCGGTTTCCAGTTTGGCGGCAGAAAACTACTTGGTTCATCTGGGTTACTTGTTTGGTATCTTGTGAGTAATTTCTACAATAAATACTTAGTTTTACTTTCAGTAAGTGTGCCGTTTATCGGTAGAGCATCAGTGAGTGACAGTGTATTTAGGGACCCTGTATATGAAAACTTGGACAGGTTAAGGAAAATAATTTTGCTGGATGGTTGTTCTTAGCATTTCCAGAAAAATTGATAAAGATGGGGATGAGCTTCATGATAAAATTAACCAACTTCTAGCATCTCAAAATGCCAAAAAGGACAACCAAGAATCTAGTGACAAAATTGACAGTCTCCAAATGAAAATAAGCAGCCTAAAGGTTTCTAAGTGTGCCTTGGAAGGGAATCTCCCCTCCAGCAGCCACAGAGCTTGAGTTGCAGAGAATCACAATGAAGTCCTCACTTTGGGCTAATCTAAAGCAAAAATTCAGTCTCTGCCTTAGAGAGTTTCAGTGGTTAAAGGAAGGGCGTTAACTGGTAAAGAGTGGGATCATGTAACTTGGGATGGGTTTCTATTGGAGGACCCCAGTGAAGCTGAGAACTTTGAACACTAAATCCTCATAGGTGTATCTCACCTGAGGAATAGTAGTACCCTTGAAATGTTGCCATTTTTGACAGAAACTCAACGCAATTCCTCTAAAATCAGGAACAAGACAAGGCTGTCCACTCTCTCCATACCTTTTCAACATGGTACTTGAAGTTCTAGCTATTGCCATATGACAACAAAGGGGGATCAAGGGGATACAAATTGGGAAGGAAGAGGTCAAACTTTCACTGTTTGCAGATGATATGATAGTTTACATCAATGACCCAAAGAACTCTACCAGGGAACTCTTACAGCTGATTAACACCTTCAGCAAAGTGGCAGGCTACAAGATCAACTCAAGAAAATCAGTAGCCCTACTATATACAG